ATCTTTGAGAGGATGTACTTACATTATTACGCTTTTATCATTATATTAGTTTTAAAATGGTCACCAGACAATATTATTGTTTATCGCAATAATTTAAGTTTATTGATCTTTGAGAGGATGTACTTACATTATTACACTTTTATCATTATATTAGTTTTAAAATGGTCACCAGACAATATTATTGTTTATTGCAATAATTTCTGAGACAGTTAATCACCCAGTAAAATGTGTTATGGTGACAGATCTGTCTGATGGTAACTCTGAATAATCTAAAGAAACATCAGATTCATCTGTACTGTGTGTTAGTGTGTTAGTGTGTTAGTGTGTTAGTGTAGCAGCGCTCTGTTTACGTGCAGACATTCCCCTTTGACATCACTTCCTGTTTCTTCACGTGCCAATATCCCAACAATCACACCTGTGTGGTTTTTTTCAGTGTTTTATCATCAGTGTTTTCTTTTCAATATTGCATTTCTGTTTATTTATCTGACCTTTTTCTTCAGTGTTTCCACCGCTTTGTTTGTGGTCAAACAATGAGGAGCAGGCAGAGCAATCCTAAAGATTATTTTATTATTTGTAGCTCTTCTCTCTAAGTCAGCTGCTGTTTGTTTTCCTCTCAGGGTTTGAACTAAATAAAGGAGAGAGGACTGATTCATTTTGCAGCTTTAATATCTACAGCTCCTCCCAGTTACACAAACAACACACTGCTGTGTTTCATAATGTGGAGTACTGTGGTGTAATGAGATGAGAAAACTAACTGTAGGATGATTTATGGGTTTAAATGACTCGAGCCTCGGTGTTTTCAGACTTGATAAACTGAAACGAGTGAAGTTTTCAGCTGTTTTCTTTCACCAACGCTGTTTTTCACAATCATAGTTGCACTGGACACACTGATGTGATGAACACAGCTCTTCAAACACATAATCTGTAATAATAATCTCTCACAAGGTTTGTCCTGGTTCTTCCGGTCCGGCCCAGAATGGCTTCTGCCAGCAGCACCAAGGTGTCATGGCGACTGCGTGAGTACAAACCCTTACTGAGAGCAGTGCTCGTCAAGCCACAACTCACAGCTGACCTTTCTCCCTCCTCTCTTGTTGTTGTTGTTGTTGTTGTTGTTGTTGTTGTTGTTGTTGTTGTTCAGAGGAGTTCGAGGCGCACTCACGGAGCGTTTCCTGTCTGGTTCTGGGGAAAAGCTCCGGCCGCCTGCTGGCCACAGGAGGAAAGGACTGCAGGGTCAACATCTGGGTTGTCAGCAAAACCAACTGCATCATGGTTCGACTTCTGTTTCTTTAACACCTAAAACATGTTTACAGTCAATGAGAAAACACTTTTCTTGCATCATGCTCGCACAGCAAAAACAGGAGTGTTAAAATTTCAGTGTTAAACTTTTGGGTGTTGATTTAACACCACCTAATGTTATTTTAACACTTTCTGAGTACACTGACACCCAGTGTTGGTGTTAATTCACAGTGTTTTCTTCAGTGTTGTCGCAACACTGGACAGTGTTAAATAAGCTCCGCCCACTGTTAAGTCTTATATAACACTTAACAGTGTTGTTATATGACACCATGCAGTGTTGAAAGGATAAGCCCCACCCTCTTCCACCTCATGTCAGACACACCAGTATTTACCCAGCATTCCTTGCTGAGAAATCTTGCAGAAACGATGTTTTTGCTGTTTGTGACAATTAAAGACGTTCATGAGAGTAAAAATTAGTTGTTCTGGTTAATTTTCTTGTTCAGTTTGATCAAGTTGTTCAACTCTAAGTTTATGTTATTGGCCAAAAATCGACACCATGAGTGAGAGGTGTGTCCTGGTGTGTGAAGGGTGACTCCATTATACTTTTCTCCTAACTACTGAGTCGTGTCAATGCAACATTACAAAGAGTTTGATATTAACTCAGAGTGTTAAATTTATACTCTCAAATGTACAGAGTATTGACACCTTGTTGTGTCTTTTGACCTTTTTAACACCATGATTCCCTTTGTCCTGATGCATCTCAGTAATCCAGGTAAAAAAATCAAAAAGAAAAAAATTGTATAGTTCTTCAGGACGGGTTCTTCTTTAATGAAACGTTTCGTCTCTCCTCCAAGAGACTTCTTCAGTCTGAGAGTTTCAGGCTAAATTCAGGCTGAAAAGCCTGAATTTAGCCTGAAACTCTCAGACTGAAGAAGTCTCTTGGAGAAGAGACGAAACGTTTCATTAAAGAAGAACCCGTCCAGAAGACCTATACAATTTTTTTCTTTATGATTCCTTTTGTTAATAATAATACACTGGTGTTACTTTTAACACTTTATTTTAACACTGTTGAAATGTTAATGTCACCCACAGTGTTGCTGAATATTAAACACTGGCTAATGTTACTTTTAACACTATATTTTAACACTAACACTATTTTTATGTTAATGTGACACCCAGTATTGTTGAATATTAAACACTGGTTGGTGTTAAATAAAAAAATGGGTGTTAAATTGAACACTTTCACAAATGTTATTTTAACACCAGCGAGTGTGGACACATATAGACACTTTGTTGGTGTTGAAATGAACACTGTGGGTGTTAAATTAACACTGTGGGTGTTAAATTAACACTGGTGTTTTTGCTGTGTGGGTTTGTTATAAAAGTTGTGTAGTTTGCTACTCTTAGCACCTGGAGAGACCCAACGTTACATGTTCCAGTAAAAATGATATAAAAGTTGAATAAATGATATAAATGAGTAAAAGAACTGGTGGAAGTTTGGAGGATGTTTACACAGGAGGGGGGGGACAGCTGCTGGTTTTTCATTGCTGTGCTGACTGAGAAGGTGGTCCACCTCAGCTGGACATCATGTTTCTGTTGTAAACGACAAATTTACAAAATAGCTCTTCTCCTTGAATAACAACAGAAATACCAGAGCCTCATTTATAAAGGATTGTGTAGAATTCATAATAAAAGTGAGCGTACAAAAAAAAACAGTCAGATTTATAACACTGTGCGCACACCTTCAGGTAACTTTCCTTTCTAGATCACAGCTGCTCCTCAGAGTTCCTCAGGGTCTCCAGGGGTGGGAAATCCTGGTCCTGGGGGGCCGCAGCCCTACATGTTTTACATGTTTCCTGCTCCAACACACCTGATTCAGTCACTGAACTACCTCTTCATGTTCTGCAGTACGGAGGACCGACACTGACATAANGTACGGAGGACCGACACTGACATAATTAGAAATAAAAGCACAAACAGATAAATGAACGTTTAAATAAATAAATCCTTTTAAAATGCACCAAATAAATAAAAAAGGAGAACTTTACCTCATGTTTTATCATTTAATTGACCTTCATATTTATTTTACCAGCTTAGTTACAATAAATTATATATTTTAACATAATTTAAATTTTTTATGTTTTTAATATATGTTTTACATAGTGTTTCCTTTTACTTGTACATGCATTTGTGTGTCTTGAATGCTTAAATTGAATTATTTTTATAATTTTGTCCAACAAGTCTTTTTATTTCTAAGTGTTGCATGTTTGTGCTGCTGCAGTTTAGCTTAAAGTTTAGTTAAAAATAAATGCACAGGTAATGTTTTCCTCCTTGCCTTTGTTTTAAACTAAACTTTAAACTTTTAGCTAAACTGAGGCACAAGCATAAAACACATAGAAATAAAAAGACTTGTTGGGAAAAATAGAAAAATAATTAAACATAAACATTTAAGATGCAAAAGCATGTACAAGTAAAGGAAAAACAATTAATATATATCTAAAAAACAGTTAAATTTAAATTATGTGTTCAAATATATAAACTAATTTGTTGGAACTAACCTGGAAAAATAAATATGAAAGTCAATTAAAATGTGAAACAGGAGATAAAGTTCTCATTTTTTAAATTTAATTGGTGCATTTTAAGTGTATTTGTTTAGTGGTTCTTATAATACTGTTTTTATTTCTGATTATGTCAGTGTTGGTCCTCCGTACTGCAGAAACCTGATAATCATCAGATCAGGTGTGTTGGAGCAGAGGAACAAGTAAAACATGCAGGGCTGCAGCCCCCCAGGACCAGGCCTGACCATGCCTGCTCTACCCTCTACACGCCCACACTCAACCGTTAACACTCAACCGTTAACACTCAGCACAGAGCAGCTCATGAACGTTAAGATGTATTTAAATCAGTCAGCTGTACAGTGTCAACTAAAGGCTCAGGCATGTGCTCCATCCTGCATCTGCAGGAGGACAGGTGCTGACCACTGCTCACATCAGACTGTCTGTAATTTACACATTTTCCCTCAGTTTGCAGGAATACAGACATTTAGAGCAATCGCAGACTTTTTTTTTTCCAAAAATGTAGCTTCAAATATATTTTTCTCAGAGCCTGTAGGTCGTTAAAAATCAATAAATAAAATGAAATAACCCAAACATTGCCCCAACTGTGCTGCTAGAAATGAGTTCACCGCCCTTCTGCCCTGTTTCCTCCTGCCTACGCGCTGAAAACTGACACCTGCGGGACGTTAAGAGTCCCTACAGGTAACCTGKTTGACAGACGATGACCTAGTCCAGGGCTTCTTAACCTTTTTGACCTCGGGGCCCAGTTTGTTGAACATAAAGTGACACGAGGCCCAGTCAGACATTACCAATGTATGGATCAACATGATAATTATTATAAATCTTGGTTTAATTTGTATTGTATTTACATCATAACTAAATTAAATACACTTACAGTTTAAAAGTAAAACTCCTGACAAATAATCACAAGACATGATTATGACAAACGTTTTTATATTATAACCTGCCCATAACTATTATTAAAATAAATACAAAGGTCAGTCAACAGACCACTCAGGTTTATCAGCACAAAAATATATTTTTAACATAAATAACTAAAATAGACAATTCAATGAATAAAACTGTGATCATAAAATAAATAAATTCAAAAATATTTAATGTAAATGTTCCAAATACATAAACTGTAAAAATAAATTAGATAAAGTACAAATGAAAATAAAGCCTTTTTAAACTTTTGCAACCAGAAGCTGCTCTTCATATTAGTGACAAACTTTGGTGTTTTTTGATGAGTTACTTTCATTTTTGTTTCTACTTTTCATTTAAAATAAGTTTCTATTCTCAGCAGGTTTCTAAGGTTCTTCTTCTACATATTAAAAAGTTGTTAAACATCTGAGTGGTGCACTACTGCTACTAGTGGTGAGAAAGTGTATTGCACCTTATTCAAAATCAATGCGGCCCAAAGTAAAAACTGTTGTTGTTTTGAGGCCCTCAGGGTGGCGCTCACAGCCCATAGGTTAAGAATCTCTGACCTAGTATATACAATATTATAATTTAAGTCATTATATTTTATATTGTATTATTTCATATCTTCATTTAAATTAAACGTATCTTTCATATATTTACATACAGTCAATAAATAATGTGAACATGTATCATAACATTAACATTTTAAGTGAACTTGTTGTGAATGAGGAATCTTGTGAACTGTTTTTTGCTTTTACAAATTTTTATTCAAGTTTTTCCAAAGCTTTGAAATTGAATCTGTTCCGTTTCTTTGCTGGAACTTGTCCAGCTGTAGGAAACACCCTCTCACACGGATCACACGAGGCTGCTCCATAATTCTTCTTCAATTTGACGATGAACCACAGCAGATCAGAGAGTCTTTAGCAGATGCAGCCTGTTGACAGGTGCACACAGTAGCCTGGTTTAGAGGTGACGGTTGAGCACGGTGCGAGGGTGCACGCTCCATCAGTGACTCCACGTCTGCTTTATGCACCTCTGAATATTTGTAAAAGCTGCTGTTTGTTAGTCAAGCTTCTCCTGTTCACAACAAAGATGTTCCTGCATGCATGTGGTTCCTGAAGGCAGGAGGATGTTTGGGTTGTTTCAGATTCTGCACTGAGCTGTTTTCTGTGTTTGTCTCAGAGTCTGACGGGTCACAAGAACCCGGTGGAGTGTGTCCAGTTCAACACGTCAGAGGAGCAGGTTGTGACCGGCTCTCAGTCTGGATCCATACGAGTCTGGGACCTGGAGGCTGCCAAGAGTAAGCACAAGTCATTTATTTTATGTGTTTTTGTTTTATTTCTATAGATTTAATTTTCTGTGTAAGCTTTTATTAAACTGTGACTGTACTGGTTGTTTAAAGTGCTTTGTAACCAGTGGTGGGCACCAGTCCGCTAAAGTGCAAAACCGCTAATAGTGGACCTAAATATTTTGTTTGCTCGTTAGCGGTCTTACTAATTTTTATAATTCATAAGCAGATTTGCACTTTCTAAAATTAAAAGCAGTACCACTAATAACTAATTATCTACCAGTCATCATTATGTTGAACAGCAGAAGGTATGACTGTCAATGAATCACAACACATGTGATCTATCCAACAGCACCCCTCCCAGATAAACACTCTTATTGTGAAGGTATACATCCTGCTGACTGTTGCTTTGGGTCAGGGTTCTCATTTCCCACAATGCTTTGTGTCTGCTTACGTAGCAGGAAGGCAGTGTTTAGAACTTCCTGTCCCAGCAAACAATAAACGTTTGTAATCAAAAATTTGTATGTATTGATTTATTTTACTTTACAACTGTAGCTCCTTTTTTAAAAAAAATAAAGTTTAAACGCTGGAGCTCAATACTTGATGTAAGTGGTCGAAGCAACGGGGTTAGAGACGCAGAAATGATTTAAAGATGTTTGCTGGTGGCGGTGCACGTAGAGCTTACCTGTGACAGGTGTGTGACTCTGCTGCTTCCTGCCCTCAGTGTTGCACACTCTGATGGGACACAAAGCCAACATCACCAGTCTGGGTTTTCATCCGTTCGGGAACTTCCTGGCCTCCAGCTCCACGGACACCAACATAAAGGTGTGTTTGTTCACGAAACTCAGTGTTCCTGTTGAAACCGACGTGTTCTGACCCGTTTCCTCTTCAACGTCCATCTTTTTGTCAGCTGTGGGACATACGCAGGAAGGGCTACGTGTTCAGGTACAAGGTAAGAGCTGGATGCAGATTTTTACAGTAAATGTTTTTAATGATGGAGTCCAAACGTTTCATCGACCCGTGTGAAGAACCTGTTAGTCAGAGCAGAGTTTGAGGAACACTTCAGGATTCTGTGTGTTTTGTTGCAGGGTCACACTCAGGCGGTCAGAAGCCTGGCCTTCAGTCCGGACGGGAAGTGGTTGGCCTCAGCAAGCGACGACGGCACTGTGAAGGTACCGACCCGACCCGACCCACCACCTCCTGTCAGAGTTCAGGAAACAAACAAGCTGGGTTTGAGAAGCTGAGAAACCAGTGTTTGGGTTTTACTGCAGAAACTGAGAAATGATTTGTTGCAGAACACGATCCATTACCTGTGGATGGAACCAGAACAGAACCATGATGAGCTGGTTCTGCTCCATGTTCATAATTTACAGAGTCAGGAGAGCTTTTTGTGACGGCTTTATGAATTCTGCACCTGCAGAAACCTTAAGTGAATTCGTCACAATGGAGATGTTTTGTGTCACCAGTCAAACTGATGTGTGTCTTCTCTGCAGCTGTGGGACCTGTTTCAGGGGAAAACCATCACAGAGTTCACGTCCCACTCTGCAGCCGTCAACACTGTCCAGTTTCACCCCAAAGAGTACCTGCTGGCTTCTGGCAGCTCCGACAGGTCTGACCACACACACACACACACACAAACACACACACACACACAAACACACACACACACACACACACACACACACACACACACGTTTGGACAGCTATCTAATTGGGGACATTCCTTTGACTTCTATTACATTCCTACAGCCTAACCCTGACCACAAACCCTAAACTAACCTCACAGGTACCTACCTGACCCTAAACTAACCT